GAGGGTGGATGGAATGTATGGGGAGATATTGAGCATGACTTCAGCAGGAAAAATAATTCTAAAGAGATTGGTTTGGCTGTATTAAATGGTTTGATGTTGAGTTTGAACTGAAGTCAACTGCTGCCTATGTATTTTTTAGCTAATGGTCAGTTTGAACTGATAGGCCTAAAGACGATATAAATATCAGTAACAAACCTGATGATTAAAAGCCCCAGTAGTACAGAGTAGGTGCTATAGTGAAGTCACCATATAGCGTATACAGTTTGAGATGATGTTCACCAGGTCAGCTACCATCTAAAGATATTTGCTTCCTGATAAAGCATAGTATCTACTCACCACTGTCATTACTTTTAAAGGGACCCATCACAATATTGAAAAACTTTCTTTTTTTTACCGAAGCTAAGGATGGTGTGCTGTTAAAAATAACATCACCTTTCCATTAAAGGTACAGTATTTCTTATGCTCAAAATACAGGTACAGAGGGATGTTGACCAATTCAGCTGCATAGGTTGTAAATAGTACAGTCCTATCACTGTCACATGTTGTAATATATAAAAGAGGATAGCAGAGGTTGCAGTCTGTATAGATCTACTTATATTAATGAAGTTAAGGTGGTCAATATGTTGGTCACAAATAGGGTCCTGCTTTTTGTCATAAGCAGCAAGCAAAAAAAAAAAATGGTTTAATTAATTCAGCTACATTTATGACTAAAAATCTAGAAGTCCTAATATTTGGGTACTAAGAATTGTCAGTGGAATTGTTGGCTTTCCACATGGGCCTGGTAAAAAAAATGAGTAAAAATACATGCATGACTTCACTGGTAAAACTTGCCACTCCTATTGACTGATTTGCAGCAATTGAAATCTTTTTACAGATGCTGAGACTGCACATACAGTATCTCTGCAATAATGGCATCATGTATAGCCAGCATTTTTGTTAAAACTGTGACCAATGATTTAGCAGGATTTGTTTTTAAAATAAATATATTTTGCTATTTCATGTAAGTTTGTCAGTGTTACTAATCAACATTACTGGTGTCATCTAATATTATCCTTTGTAATGCAATATTGACATTATCCTGGTATTGTAAATACAATTCATCACTATTTTTTTTTTTCATGAGACTCATGACATTTCTGAAAAACATTAATTTTTGTTTACATGTAACAATGTAAGCATATGGTGTAAGATCTGAGGTAATGACAGCGAAATAACCTTCTCTCTGTAATCAACATCAGTGCTTTCTAGTAAGTATTGCTTTTGGAGAAGAAAAAGAGTGTTTGATCATGAAGGTAAAGAGGATAAATGCAGCTGTAATTATTGGAGAACCCACAAAAAGGTATAATTTATTTGAATGTTGTACGGATAAAATACTAGAGATGTCCACAATTTTTTTGCAAGGCTCCTTGCAGTCTCGTACATTCAATACTGAGCTTCTTTTTAACTAGCAACCTTCACTGATTTACTGCAAGAAAGGAACTCCTCGGGTCTCTTATGAGCAATTCTGAGAAATTCTTTAAAGCCTAGATGGTATATCACAGGTGAACTTGAAATTGAGGTCTTAAGTATTCATCTTTTGATGCATTACAAAATTCATGGATCAGGGATACAACATAACCTTCTGCTAAATTGTGTTAAAAAATATAGAGACATGGTGGAAAAAAGACAGGACTTTGTCCTGTCTTTGCTAGTGTTCTCTGAAACTGGATTTTAATGTTGATGACTTTACTAGCTATCAAAAAAAATATATGTCAGTCTCCAGTAGTGATCCAAAGGTAAATTGATAACTTATAGTTATGCATTAGTTAATGCATTTAAAGTGCTTACTGCCAGTAAGTGACGTATACTTGCTCTTTGATAGCCACTGCACTAATTAGAATAAATAGTTTTAAATGTTTTAATTTTAAGAACTTTAGGAAAATGCCCAGATAAGATAAAAAAAAATGGAGGGGTGCATTTATTGTTTGATTGACATTGACATGGACCTATGGGAAGACAGGACAATGCACAAACACTTCCAACTTTAGGTCACAAAGCAGCAAATTGACTTTGCACTCACAAATATTTGCATACATTTCTACGTTTAAATGTATGAATGATGTTTGAATTCACCACTATTATGATATTGTGGTGAATCCTTCTTCTTCAAGATTTGTCAGACTGCATAATCATTATTCACTTTGTGGCCTTGGAACTTAGGTCAGCTGAATAGTTAATGAGGAGGCCTTTGGAAAAGCCAGCCCGCTGACTTTAAATGAGTGAGATTACAGCAGCCATATCGATTTTAAACTTTAGCTGTGATATGGATAACATATAGATATAAGCACAGGCAGTGCTAATTATAACGTTCACAGAGAGAGATAATGGTAGGTTTATTGGCACTTACAGATCTAAAAATAGATGTAAAACCTTACTGGATGTCAATAAAGTAGTAAAGTGCACTGTATCTTGGGAAATTTTGGGGTGGGGAGAGTATTTTATTTTACATTTTTTCAGCCCTTGTTAAGTCCTAATGCTGCTGATGTCCCACGGCTTCTATTACAGCCTTTCCCAAAAGAAAGTTCTATGCTTTTTTTTCCCAAAGGGCATATTTCCTAATTATTTCTGGAATAAATGTTTTTTTCCTGCTGCTGTCAGTCAGTAAGGAGTCAGGGACAGAGTCTATGGACACACACTGCCCAGCTCAGAAATGCCCTTGCATGAGTGTCCCCATAGCAAGCGGCTTGCTATGGGGGCACTTAGAAAAAAGGAGGAGCCTCGAGAGCCAGCAGGGGACCCCAGAAGAGGAGGTTTGGGGCCACTCTGTGCAATACTATAGCACAGAGAAAGTAAGTACTGCATGAAACGGTTGTTATTTTAATTTAAAAAATATGCCTTTATAATAACTTTCTTTTTTATATATATATATATATATATATATATATATATATATATATATATATATATATACAGTGTATGTGCGTGTGTATATATATATATATATATATATTAGATTTTAATGATTGGACTTGTATCTATTTTAACCACTTGTATCCCAGGTCTATTCTAACATTTCTGTCATATATGTAAAATCATCTTTTTTCTTTTCCTAGAAAATTTAGAAAAACAAACCAAACATTACAATTTTTTTTAAGCAGAGGCCCTAGAGAATACATTTTTAGGTCACACAGTATTTGTACAGTGTTTTTTTTAAACTTGAGTATTTTGGAAAAAATACACTTTAATTAATTTTTGTGCACATAATACCCAATTTTTTGGTAAAGTATAAAAGATGATGTCATGCCAAGTAAATAGCATTGGGCATGCCCGTGGAAATGTGGCAAACCTCAGTACATTCAATTATTCATAGGCAATGCTTTTATAAGTTACCAGTTTAGAGTCACACAGAAGGTCTGGGGCTAGAATTATTGCTTTTGCTCTGATGTTCACAGTGAAATCTCATATGGGGTGTGATCAGCGTTTACATATCCTGTGTGATAGCATGGGCTGTGATGTCAATAACAGCTTGTAAGCATCAGACTGAGACCAGAAGTGATGAAATACTCAATGCTTGCAGTTTAAGAATTCACAGAGAGGAGGGAGCAACATCAGTCTCTCTCTCTCTCTGTGCAGTGCACAAGATGCTGCCAGTTGGAGCAGTTCCTGGATCCCCAGTGGAGCAGGATAGTCGGGGAAAGGCAGTAGAGGTGACAGGAGTGGGAGATCCCCTTACACAACCTGTAGAAGTGATCAAGTGGCTCTATAGCCACTCAAATCACTTCTACATTAAAGGGAATTTCCAGCTGAAAATGTTGATACCAGGGTGAAGCTTGTAGCTAACCACTGAAACCCAAGAACGTCTTATGACATCTTATAGACAGCAAGTGGTTAAAAAAGGATGCTTGAATACTTTGAATTGCAGTACAGGTTTACATTTGTATGTCACAACTGATTGGTAGCCAGTTGGTGTCGAACTGACAACACCTTTAGCTACTTTTTTCTACTAATTGTGGTCTTTTCCCTTTTTTTCAAATTATAACTTTTAGCTTTGAATGATGAAAGCACAACAGACAACTGTTACTGGCAGTCTGTTCAATAACTGCCTTTGCCCACAATGCATCACTGCATCCTTTTGAAAAAATGTAAACACACTATGCACCCAAAACACATCATACCCTCTGTTAAAGTTTTTATTAAATTTCAAGAAAAAAAAGTGTAGACAAGGTTACATCTCTACAAAATCAAAATCCCAGTCTCATAATTAAAAAAAAAAATCAGTGCTCCCCCATTTACTGAATGTGGCTAAAAGTCTAATCCTAAAGAACTTATCACACCTGTCCAGATTTCTGAAATCTGCCTGATGGAGGAAATTAGACATGTCAAACAGACCATCTTTGTGACTTTCCATTTCCATCTGGGTAGGTTGAATAACTTTTAAAGACTCTAATCTATAGAGACTGGATGACTAATGTACCCACTGTGGTATTATCAAGTAATTTACGTCATGCAGATAGCTACTTCTAAGACTGTTGTTAAACATCTTCATTGCAGAATAAGAATAGTAATGGGTAAATATATTAAGTTGCATGTAACCCCCCCCCCCCTTCCACTCTCCCCTTCTTTTTTTTTGTGTACACATTTGAGGATGCACTGCTGTGTTTGTACCACTCTAGCTGGTAAATGGAAATTAAATCACAAATGGATGGTACTGAGTATAATTCAATATGTTATTGTGTTAATTTGGAGCATAGTATACAGTAAGGAATGCACACCATAAAGTTGTGTTGTAAAGAACAAATGTTTTTAATTTGCCCTCACCTCACTGTAACCCCAACATTTCCCCATATACCCGAAAAGTGTTTGGTCTTTTCTCTGTCAAACATTTTATAAATTAAATGAATTGATTTTATCGGATTTTATAGTCAGTTTCTCAGTCATCTCACTGTGATCAAATTCCAGTCTTAAATAACCCATGCAACTGGGCAGGCTAGTACCTAAAGAGTGTATTGGCCAGTTCTAGCCAGTGGTACACTATAATGCCAAAAGTATTGGGACACCCCTCCAAATCGTTTTATTCAGGTGTTCCAATCACCTCTATGTCCACAGGTGTATAAAATTAAGCACCTATGCAGACTGCTTCTACAAACATTTGTGAAAGAATGGGTCACTCTCAGCAGCTCAGTGAATTCAAGCCTGGTACCGTGATAAGTTGCCACCTGTGCAATAAGTCCATCCATGAAATTTCCTTGCTACTAAATATTCCAGGGTCAACTGTTAGTGGTATTATAACAAAGCTGAAGCAACTGGGAACAAGAACAACTCAGCCCCAAAGTGGTAGGCAATGTAAAATGACAGAGAGGGGTCAGTGCATACTAAAGTACACAGTGCGCAGAAGTCGCCAACTATCTGCAAAGTCAATAGCTAAAGATCTTCAAACTTTGTTTAGCCTTCAGATTAGCACAACAGTGTGTAGAGATCTTCATGGAATGGGTTTCCATGGCCGAGCAGCTACATCCAAGCCTTACATCACTGAGTGCAATGCAAAGTGTCGGATGCAGTGGTGTAACTCATGCCACCACTGTACTCTAGTGTAGCAGAGACGTGTTCTCCTCAGTGACGAATCACACTTCTCTGTCTGGCAATCTGATGGACTTTCTGGGTTTGGCTGTTGCCAGGAGACCGGTACTTGCCTGACTGCATTGTGCCAAATGTAAAGTTTGGTAGAGGGGGATTATGGTGCGGGGTTGTTTTTAAGGGGTAGGGCTTGGCCCCTTAGTTTCAGTTAAGGAAACTCTTAAGGCATCAGCATAACAAGACATTGTGGACAATTTCATGATCCCAACTTTGTTGGAACAGTTTGGGGATGGCTCTTTCCTGTTCCAACATGACTGCGCACCAGTGCACAAAGCAAGGTCCATAAAGACATGGATGAGTGAGTTTTGGGGTGGAGGAACTTGACTGGCCTGCACAGAGTCCTGACATCAACCCAATAGAACACCTTTGGGATTAATTAGAGTGGAAACTGCGAGCCAGACCTTTTCGTCTGACATCTGTGCCTGCCATCACAAATGCGCTTCTGGAAGAATGGTCAAACATTCCCCCTGACACACTCATAAACCTTGTGGACAGCCTTCTCAGAAGAGTTGAAGCTGCTTCTTGAAACCAGTTAGAACCCAAACAGGTGTGTGTTTTTAAGGGCAGGACGCTGTTAGCTGAAAAGGGTGGGCCAACTCAATATTGAACCCTAAGAGCTAAGACTGGGATGTCATTAAAGTGCATGTGCATGTAAAGGCAGGTGTCCCAATACTTTATGCAATATAGTGTACAACCTAGACACTCAGTAGTAAATGAATAAACACCTGTAAAATGAACACTTAATAATTTAGGTAGGGCCTTGCCATTCCTGTCCATGTTTGCTTGACCAGAGCAGGAATGCCCATATGTGTTTTTGCCATCTGGTTTGAAAGAAGTTGAAGTGCCTTGCTGTCATATAGGCAGTGGGAGTTTGGGACATTTTTTTTTCTCACACTTCAAAAAAATGGCATGAGAGTTGTTACTGAGATAGTTGGGCAGTTTTAATTTACAAACTTTTATTAAACAGAAAAGTGGAAATAGAGAAGAAAGAACATGTAGAAATTCCAGCATACTGTGAATACATCCAGTAAGTTTAGTAAAGAATCAACAAATGGTGATACATACCTTATCTGCTGTATAAAATATCCCACATATACAAATTTCAAGGTAAAAAAAGAAACAATTGAGCACTGTCTGTGATACTTTTTTTATTTGCACTAACATACAATTTTGAGGACAAGCTTTCGGGGAGTGTCCCCTTCTTCAAGATCCGAGCAGTACTATACAAATCACAAAGTTTTACCAGAATTTTAGAAGAAATGGAAAAAAAAAAGGCTACAGATAAGACACAGCAAAAGCCAAGAGGTTGAGGGGGGTAAGACAACACTCACATCACAGAGGGCTTTCCCCGAAAGCTTGTCCTCAAAATTGTATGTTAGTGCAAATAAAAAAAGTGTCACGGACAGTACTCAATTGTTCCTGTCGCAAATGCACTACAATCACCTCAAAAAAAAAAAAGAAAACCAACAAAAGGCACAGTCAATTTACAAATCAAGTAGAGAGTGAACTGCAAGTGTATCTAAAATATCCAAAGTAGATAGAAAATCCAGAAAATTACTCATCATGAGATAGGTCAAACATTCAAAAATGCAATACAGAATAAGTAACTTCATTATTCAACAGTGAGTAGGCAATATAAAAACTATGGATCCCATTAAGCATCAAAATGGGGCTTAGAGTCCTGAATTTTGTGAAATATTTGTTCCATCAGCATAAGTGCATCCATTTTGTGAAAAAGGAACAGTCATAGATAATCAGTGATATGCAGTGACCCAGTGCATGGCCACAATCTCTCTACAGGACATGGGAGATCAGAGACAGTATAAAACAATAGACAATGAGCCCGAGTTAAAGTTATCTGTTTACCAGCTAATTTAGCAATGAGGTTAAAGATCTTCTGCCCCATTGGGATTATTTTTTCTCATTCCCAAAAAGCATGTAGAAATGAGCCAGCTTGGTCACAGCCATGGAAACAGTGTAGTTAGACCTAAGGGTAAATGTTAGAAAGTTTAAGCATGGTATAGTACCACCTAGTAAACAATTTAAAGCAGAGTTCCATTCAAAAGTGGAAGCTTCACTTGTTTGCCTCCTCCCCCCTCCACTGCCATATTTGTCACTTTTTGAGGGGGAGCGGGTACCTGGTTTTGACAGTTCGGCTTTGGCGAAGTGATCCAGAAGTTTGGACCCCTCCTTCCTCCTTCAGAGGTCCCAGAAGACTGCCGGACCAATCAGAATGTGCAGAGCGACTCGTGCATGCGCAGTGGGAACCCAGCTGTGAAGCCGTAAGCTGTCACAGCCTGGTGCCCACAGTTGTGATGCTTTGCGCCGAGGAGAAAAGAGGAAGAGAAGGGACGGCACAGTTGCTGGACTCTGGAACAGGTAAGTGTATGTTTATTAAAAGTCAGCAGCGACAGTTTTTGTAGCTGCTGACTTTTAATAAACACAAAACTGACTGGAACTCCGCTTTAAGTAGTGTGTCTTGAACTGTCAAAGATCTGGTACATTTCCTGAGATTAGTCTACATAGTATCCCAATCCTGCTCCATAAATTACTCCCCAAGAACTTTTTCCTAGCAAATCATAAGAGAAAAATATGTTTAGACGTGGTTTCCCTTGTAGAGAGACAATTATAAAGGGTTGAAATCAATCCCCTCCCCTGAAGGTGTTTATGACTTATATTCTCATGTATAGTGTAAGTGCCGTATGGTAAAAGTGTGTAATGTGTAGCAAAATCATGTCTAGTTGATAAATTTGGAGTAGGTTTGGTAAGTGCTGCTTTGAGTTCCAATGCTTCATTCAAGGGTTGGCAGCCTATGGTCACAGGATTGTATGCTTAATTTTTGCCTCTGCCTAACCTTCTTGTTTTGTCTCCAGAGAGAGACACAAAGGAAAAGGCCTAAAGGACCAAGGGGATTTAAAGGTGTCTCTCACCATTCTCTGTGCCCTGAGTGTGAACCTTTGGAGAGGGGTGCTTCTGTGTGATGCCAGGAGAGGACATTTGGTATTTATATCATGTTTGTCACAAGTATTGAAGTAGTAAGTGCTCCATAGTAGGCACTTTGTAAATGCAATGTATATAATATGTAATTATTATTATTATTATACAGGATTTATATAGCACTAACAGTTGGCACAGCTCTTTACAACGTAAGGGCAGACAGTAAAGTTACAATACAATTCAATAATTCAATACAGGAGGAATAAGAGGGTCCTGCTTATTAGAGCTTACAATCTAAAAGGGAGGGTCAAGTGATACAAAAGGTAATAACTGTGGTGGATGAGATAACAGAGAAAAATAAAAGTACAGTTGTTTAGTGGGGGTAGGATAGGCCTCTCTGAGAAGAGGGGTTTTCAGTGATCGTCTAAAAGTGGACAGAGCAGAAGATAGTTGAACAGATTAGGGTACAGAATTCCATAATATGGGAGAGGCTCTGGAGAAGGCATGGTGGCAAGGAGGTGGCAAGGGAGCTAGAGAGCAGGAGGGCTTGGAAGGAATGAAGAGAGCAATTTGGTTGGTATTTTGAGATTAGTTTAGTGATTTATCTAGGGGCCTAGTTGTGTATGGCTTTGTAAGCTGTTGTTAGTATTTTTAATTTAATTTGTTGGGTAAACTGAAGCCAGTAGAGAGATTGGCAGAGAGGGTTAGCAGAAACTGAATGGTTGGTAAGGTGGATTAGTCTGGCAGCAGTGTTCATGATGGACTAAAGTGTGGATAGCTTATGTAAAGGTAATCCAATAAGGAGGGAATTGCAGTTGAGGCGATTGGTAACCAGGGAGTGAATTAGGAGCTTTGTGGAGTCATTGGTTAGGAAGGGGCATACTTTGGAGATATTGCGGAGGTTGAGGTGGCAAGCTTTGGACAGTGATTGGATGTGAGGCAGAAAGAAGAGTTCAGAGTCCAGGATTACACCTAGGCCTCTGGCATGAGGGGACAGATTGATAGTCATGTCATCGATCTTGACCGAGAAGTCAGGGGAAGGGGCTCATTCGAGAGTTAATATTATGTTTTAGAGATTTAATATCAGTTTTGGATAGACTGAGTTTGAGGAAGAGTTGTGACATCCACTCTGTTAGTAAATTAAGTAGAACTGTAAGTTACACTGAAGGTGCCGTGGGATATGTAAGATGAGAACCAGAGAAGATTACAGTCAGGGAGAACAATGGAATGAGGTTTTGGAGGAGTAGGAGGTAGGGGGTGGTCCACTGTGTCAAAGGCAGCAGAGAGGTCCAGGAGTAGGAGTACAGAATAGTGTCCATTGGTTTTGGTTGTTAGTAGATCGTTTGATCTATGAGTTTTAGAAGAGCAGTTTCTGTGGCATTCTGAGGGAAAAATGAGGACTGAAGGCAATCAAGAAGGTTATTTTCAGTGTGGTAGTCACTCTAGTTTTAGACTAGATATTCAAGACATTTGAAGGAAAAGGGGAGAAAGGAGACGGGGTGTAGGTTAAGATTGGTGAGGTCCAATGAGGGCTTTTTAAGTATAGGGGTAACTAGTCCACGCTTTAAAGAGTTGGGCAAGATGCCAGAAGAGAGGTAAAGATTGAAGATGTGAGTTAGAGAGTGTAAGATAGAGCCAGAGGGTGACCATAATGGGAGTGATAAATAGGTCTGCTTGGCAGTGTGGAGGCAGGATTTGTATATTTGAAGGGCTGATTTATATTGGTTGACATCTTTCTGAGATTTATTCTTGTGCCACATGCTCTCAAGAGTGTTTTTTTCAGACTTCGAGTGTCCTCTGTCTACCGAGGTTGTAGGGTTCAGGGCCCCATTCTGTGCGTAGTGAGGGGACAAGTGTGTCTGATGAGGATGACAGTGAACTGTTGTAGACAGAAGTGGTTAGTTTGGGACAGGATAGGGGTGAGATTTGGTCACAGAGGTGGTCAGTAGCTAAATAGAGAAGAGAAGGGTAAAGTGGCAAAGGTTTCTGCAAGTAGCTGTTAAGGGAGAGGAGGTGGAAGAGTGAAGCTAATAAGGTGGTGATCAGAGAGAGGAAAAGGATTGTTGGAGAGCTCAAATTGAATGCACAGGCAGGAGAAAACAAGATCAAGGGTATTGCCATCACAGTGAATACAAGCATGTACCCATT